AAGTTTTTTTTTGAAAAATAAAAACCCACCCCCCCCCCCCCCCCCCCACCTTCAATGTGTTCAAATTAATTTCATACTACGAGGAAACAAAAACTTTGACGGATGAGGTTAAATCTTCCCCAACCTCAGGAGTCTGACGTGGGAGCATTTTGCTCTTGACGCAAGACGCGAGTTGCGCAGCTTCTGCGATCCTAGGAGACGGGCCAAATCAATCCCGATTTACTTTTCTTGCTTTCTTTACTATTCTTGTTTATTTCTTTTTAGGCATTTCCTATATATGTGCTGTATTAGGGCTTGAAAGTCACTTTTTCATGTGTTTGTTTTGGGACAACCTCCGATGTCTATTCCTTTCTTCGAGGGCTATTCTCTAGGTTTTAAGTGGTACTTTGGTTGTTTCTTGATCTCAAGGCTGTTTATTCTTGCCCAACTCCTCCACATCCCTCCTGCTTCACTGCCTCACATTCCTCCACATCCCTCTTGCTTCACTAGCCCTCCATTCATCTTCGTTGCCGCCGTTGTTCCAATCTTTCCTCTTTAGTGCTATTATCCAAGACAGCTGTGTCACTTCGATATCTATTGCGTATTTTCTCTTTGTAACTTGGGAAGTCATTGCGTTGTCATTTGAAGCTTGCCAACCACCTCGTCCACCGTTCCACTACCTTTCGAAACCTTCGCTGATCACCACCACCACCTCGAGATCTATCCTAATTTTAGTGTTTATGTTGTGTTTGTTGTTATTTAATATTTACAGGTATTATGTTATATTTTCCCTTTCAAGTGTGTTTGTTATAACCACCTATTTGGCTTTTTCCGTACTAATATTTGCTTTTCCTATTGTGTTTTGATTTAACTCCGGTATCACATGGGTGTTAATAAAAGCGATTTAGTATTTGGTTAAATTTCTGTTAAATTTGCCTTTTAAATGATTGTTATAAAAGAATTTGTTTGAATAAAACAATTGTGGAGTTACATGAATTGATTAAATGACAAGAATATGCATTATTAGTGATTAATAAATTGTATCAACTAAATATTATTAAATTTAATTAATAAAGTTATTAATTTTGTATCCATGAATAAAAAGATAGAATACTAATTAAAGAAGTGAGATGATTTTTTATAGAAGTAATAAGCATTACTTTTAATGAAGAAAAAAATCTTTATATTATTCATTAAAATGATTTAGCTTGACATTTGAAATAAATTACATTAAAGGAATCATCCTTCCGTTAACGTATCCTATTAATTAATTGATATGTATCAATGTATTATAATCTAACAAAGCAAGCATATGTTGTTACTCGTCAGAATCGTTTCAAAGCTCTTCAAGATCCGAGTTAATGACATTGACCCCATTGAATTTCAATGCATTTGTGTGTGCAAAATTTTGTTCTAAATCATATTGGTGGAAATCAAAATCTGATTTTGTTAGATGGCACCTACTATAATAATGAAGAATCATGATCGCCACGACTATCAAGCATTTAATCTCAAATAAAAAAAAGCTTTACATGCCTCATAATATATTCTATTTTGTCTCACACATTACAGAATATCATTTGATAAAACTTCCATGTGAAGAGTTTCTTTTGTTGAATCTCTTTTTTTTTTGTGGCATATGGCTCTAGCAGCTTCAAATATTTAAGTGGTATGTTTTATCTTTATACGGTATAGTAAAATTTCTCTCGCTTGAGTTGACATCCAAAGTTCACTTGATACTTTTTTCATGAAATTTATTTTATTGTGATTTATGAACAGATGAATTAGTTTCATTTCAAATAATTAATATTAAATTTAATACAACAGATTATTTTTAGAATTCTTGGAGGAGGCATGGGAAAGTGTATGTTTGATCTTGATTGACACATTCAAACATTCCAAATATGTGTTGTGCCTTCTCAACTATGAATATATGTTGAATACATGTTGAGGCCGCGTGCTATCATTACATTTTGTGTTAGTAACTGTTCATCATTTATAAATGTCATTCATAGCTTCTCTAATGCAATAAAATAGCTCATTGCGATTCAAGTAATTTGTTTTCATTGTGACTTGAAGGGTTGCTAGGACAGTGGTATTTGGAGGCCTTCTCAGTTCTGAAATGACAAATGAAGTACTCCGTCGGGCTGGAGAGGCTGGAAGCATTTGTTCAATAACTTATCCTTTTCCAAAGGAAGAACTTGACCATCATGGTAAGCTAGTTATTCTCCTGTCTAATCCGCTTTGATTAATGTTTAGACAATTGTCTTCAGATTTGTAAATTACAGACATTAGTATGCATGCTTTTAGGTATATGAAGAACCTTATTTCTGATGTGCTTCCAAAAAGTAGAGTTTTGTTGTAAAAACACTACATTTTAGCACTTTTGATGTATAACAGTGGGACCTTACGCTGCAAAAAGGTAGGTTTTGCATGAAATTAACTATGTTCTGTTGCCATGTTAATGCCAAGGCTTGCATTAGAATCAGTGTGAATCTGAGAGACGTTATATAAGGTTTAACAAGTTTCAATGGGTATTGCTGAGGACTTATTTTGCACATGTTCATTTAACTTTGATTTATTTGCACATGTTCATTCAACTTTGAGTTGTTGACATGTATTTCTTGGATTAAATAATGTGCTAAGGATGAGTAATTCTGCCATCAGCTTCTAAACTCAACTATTTTTCTCTTGTAATTGAGAATCAATAGTGGCTTTTTTTAGTCTAGTTTCAATTTTTCTCGAGGAAGAAATACTAACTTTTTGAAGGATAGAATATTTAATTAATAAAAGTAGGACAAAAATATAGTTAAAGATAAGTAGGCGTGAACCGCGAGGTCTAATACAGATTAGGAGGGCATAAGTGCTACATTTTTGATTCCACAGAAGGAGCTAGTGAATGTTCGGTTTAAAGAAAGTCATAGGCTGAACTTAAACATGTGACCTCTACTTTGGAAACTTGGGAGCATATTGTCTGCCCTTGAGGTCTTTAGTAAGAATTTAAATAAAAAATTTTTCATTAATGATGAAGGTAATGAGGTAGTAGTTAATGATGAAGAGATTGCAGATATAAAATTTTTCTTTTAGAATTTATCAAATGAATGCTTTAGGATATGAAGAGATTGCAGATATACATTTTTTCTTTAAGAATTTATGCTTTAGGAGGAAATCACTTTCGGAAGAACATGACACTAGATAATGAGATTTATTATTGCTTGATCTAAAAAGGTGAAGTGGAGTTAGCTTTAAAGAAAACACATAATGGTAAAGTGTCAGGCTATTGTGATTTTAAGAATTATTGTTGTTGTTATTGTGGTTTGGTTAACATTGCTTTTAATTTAGTTATGAATGCGAAAAAAGATACAAAATTATTAGTAAAGAAGCATTTTGTTACCAATACTAAGAACAAATAATGTTCACAAAATGAAGTTGTGAAAGTGAATAACGGAACATGAATTTAGAGAATGTTCATTGATATACAGTAATTAGTTTGACTTTATGCTAAAAGATACATATGGAAGCTATTTTGTGGTTAGAAAATTAATAAAAAGCTTGGAGTGGATAAACTTCTCTATAGTATTTTTATTGAATTTGCAAAGGCTTATGATTGAGTACCATAGGTATTGATTTAATGCATATTAATAAAAATATTGTGACAAAGTTTTGTTAAAGCTCTTTAAGATAGTTTTAGGAGTAGTGCGGAGTGCCAAAAAAAAAAGAAAAATCAATTAGAGTAGGGTGACCTTAAGGATGAATACTATGTTCATAATTTTAGATATTGGCTATAAAGATGCTTTCAAGAATATTTAAAGACAGGTGCTTTGGTATATTATTTTTATAGATTATATGGTTATAACTTTGAGACATCTACTGAAATTAATGGAAGTTTAAGAAATGAAAATATGTTTAACAATAAAGGTATAGGATTATATAAAGGTTTGGTATATTTAACCTGGGCTTAGGTTGCGCCAAAGGAATAAAGGACCTGATGGTTGAAAAGATGCAACCTAAGCTCTGGTAACTTAAACCATATTGGTATTGTAGGTGGTTCTTGATTTGGATCAAATTCAAGAGATTGAGCAACTTCATAGTTTTTCTTTCAATGTTGAGGTATTTCTTGGAGAAAATCCTAGCATTGTCTTCGTTCATAGTCAAATGTATCATCACATGTCTCCCATCAGAGAGACTCACCTTCCATTGTCCTACAAATTTGAGATCCTCAAAAACTTTGCGAATAACCTCCATTTTGGGTTGCCCCAACTGAAATTTCTTAATGAGTGTGAATTTGTATTTTCAACCAGAGTAGAGACTTCAAGGGTTGAAAAAATAATAGCGGTTTTACCACCCTTCCTACAAGCCCTCTTAACAAACGGATGGTCGGCTTTCCTTTCAAAAGAATCATGATAGATCTGAGGAAATACAACATGCTCGACAACCTTTTCAGAGTATAGACTCTTATCAAGTGTCTCAACAAAAGATTCTTTGCCTGGGTGCTGATTCGAGGGAGGAATAGTAGCCATCGAAGCAGAAGATAAAAAACGGAGAAAGAAATTGTAGAACAAAAAAAATTGTCGCAGGGGAGGTGTTGTTAAGCGGAGGAGATGTCGACATCTTTGCTAGATCATGACAAGGTGACGAACTTGTTACAACACAATCCTCTTCCCTTCTTCTTCGAGCACGACGAGGCGACGAACAGGCTACGTTCTCGTTCCATCGTAGAGATATCGAGGGCTACTCGAGTTGACACGGAGTTGCGACCAGAGTAAACCCTGGCAGAGCAAAAAAAAAACGGGAAGGGGAAGGGGAAGGGGTTGCGTGCTCGTCTTCCGCCTTTGTCTTTCTCCTTGACCTAGCTCGACATCAACACGAGTTTGTCGTCTCTTCGACACTTAGCTGCTAGGTCATGTTCGGCTCCTCAGTCTTCCTCTTCGACTCAACTTGATAGCAGCACCATCTTGTTCGTCGTTTCTTTGACACTCAGCTAAGACACGTTCGACTTCAGCTCCCTATTTATTCTTAGTTTTTTCTCCGCTGCTTCCGATAGCCACTGTTCCTCCCTCGAATTAGTACCTAGGCCAAGAATCTTTTGTTGAGGCGCTTGGAAAGGGTCTGAACTCTGAGTTGGTTGTTGATCATGTGGTGTTTTCTCAGATCTGTCAAAAGATTCCTTTGAAGGGAAAGCCGATTGTTCGTTTGTTAAGATGACTTGTAGGAAGGGTGGTAAGACCGCTCTTATTTTTTCAGACCTCGAAGTCTCTACTCTGATTGAAAAATGCAAATTCACACTCATTGGAAAATTTCAGTTGGGGCATTCCAAAATGGAGGTTATCCGCAAAGCTTTTGAGAATCTCAAACTTGTAGGGTAATGAAAGGTAGGTCTCTTTAATAAGAGACATGTGATTTGATACAGTTGACTACGGACGAAGACAATGCTAGAATTTTCTCCTGGAAATACCTCACCATTAAAGGAAAAACTATGAAGTTGCTTAAATGGTCTCTTGAATATGACCCAAACCAAGAACCACCAACAATACCAATATGAATTAAGTTACCTGGGCTTAACTTGCATCTTTGCAATCACCAGGTCATTTATTCCATTAGGGCAATGCTTGGGAGATCAATGAAATTAGTGATTACCACTTTTAATCTCACCAGACCTTCGGTTCTCAGAATTCTTGTGGAGAGAGATACCACTTTACCCGACATTGAAGAAATTTGGCTTAGCACTGCACATAATTGCTATTGACAACAAATTGTCATTGAACAAAGATCGTACTATTGCACCTATTGTAAGATGTTTGGACATACAATCGTTTGGACACACAATTGAAAAATGTTTCAGGCTCCACTCTAATTTGAAACCCCAACCTCCAGTGCCTCACCTAACTACTCAAGAAGCACTTATTCCACCGGCTGATATGGTGGAAACTGCAACTAGAGAGGATATTGTCATTGTTTGTGCCTCAGAGGAGTACCCCTCACTACCTCAGCCCTAGCAGGTTACCGAAAATGAGGATACTCTCATTTTAGTGCCAAATAATTCTCCATATGCTGTTGCGGGCCCTCGAACCTTAACTAAGTGCTAAGTTCAAGGTGAGCAACATGTGAAAATTACCCCTATTAATGATCACCTCAGTGATAAGTTGGGACAACCCTTGGATGATGATTGACAATATCACCTCAGTGATATTGTCATTGTTAGTGCCTCAGAGGAGTGCCCCTCACTACCTCAGCCCTAGTAGGTGCCTCAGAGGAGTGCCCCTCACTACCTTAGCCCTAGTAGGTTACCGAAAATGAGGATACTCTCCTTTTAGTGCCAAATGATGCTCCATATGCCGTTGCGGGCCCTCGAACCTTAACGAAGTGCTAAGTTCAAGGTGAGCACAGGTGAAAATTACCCCTAATAATGATCACCTCAATGATAAGTTGGGACAACCCTTGGATGATGATTGACAAGTTTACAAAGTCAACAAGAAGAAAAAATGACTGAATGAACTCAGGAATTTACAGGAGGATGCTTTGCTCGTTTCGGGTGGAAGTCCTTATCACAATTTGGTGTTAGACTCACTCTCTAGAACCAAGGAGAGAGGAAAGCCCACTCATCATGATTAAGCTCTCTCGTGGACCATTTTATCTTTTTGGGGAAATTGTCCAGCTGATTTGGGATATACTTGTATTTTTCTTTTTTTATCTTTTTGAGTCTTGCGTGCCTTGTGAGTGGGTTTCTAGCGCCTCTCACTAAAACCTTTATATATTCTTCTCATCAATCAAATCTTTATTTTGTCGAAGAAATATATATATATATATATTGGTCAGCTTAAATGGAGTTGTGCTTGCGAAGTATTATGTGATATGATAATTTCATGATGGATTACACATAAATTTGTAAATTTATAATCACACTTGTTACGTTGTATGGATGTTAGTGTGGGATAGTGTAAGATGTCGTTAATAGTCTAGTTGAACATATTGTAAAGGATTCATGATGGATTACACATAAATTTGTAAATTTATAATCACACTTGTTATGTTGTATGGATGTTAGTGTGGGATAGTGTAAGGTGTCGTTAATAGTCTAGTTGAACATATTGTAAAGGAAATAGTAAGGTGGATGTGTTAGCAACTTCTATTGAGAATAAGCCGACGAAAAATAACTGTGATTTGGACATGTACATTGAATGACATAAATGCACTTTGGTTAAGAAACTTAGTGTCTAAGCTTTAGGATGGAAGAGGGTTGACAAAAGGTATATGGATAGAAGTTGTGCTAAAAGTACTAATCAAATAGGTTTTGCTCATGCAACATTTAATAGGAATGACGCAAAAATAATGATTCATAAATCAGGGACAAATAGTTGTGATAATGCTATAATGAAGAAAGTGCTCTTGTTTGATGGAACCAATTTATGGAGAAGTTTTTTAATGGTAGGGACTCGATTAAGATAACATCCCTTAAAAGAAGACAAAAATTTGAAGCACGCTTTCGGTAATGGTTAAGTGGGTCTTAATGTAGGCTTGATAGATTCAAATTAGCCTTAGAGCTGGTAAATAAATTTGAATGACTGGTTAAATTTGAGTTTATTGTTTTCCTTGTGGTACATTGAACAAAGTAAAGGTTGATGCTTGCATTTAATCCAATCAATTGATAATTCTATTTCTTTTAAAAACTTGGGAACCTTGAACACCATTAAGAGCTCAATATGTGCTTATGATTAATACTAATTTATGACATTACACATATTTAATGAGAATTAATTCCTAAAATAGTCTCTTGACTATTTGTGTGTCAAGCCATTTTTTTCCTAATTTTTCTAATTTTTTCACTTGATTTTACAAAAAGTTATTCAAAATTGTTCATCATTTAGAAATTGTGATTCAAAATTGATCACTTTTTTGTCCTTATATTGTTAAAAAATGATTCCAATTTAGTATTTGAGAGATAATTTTAGATCAATTTTGTGTGACTGAGGGACTAAATTGGAGATATTTGATATTGTAGGATTATAGTAGCCATATAAGAATTTTTGGGTGTTTATTTTAGATTTTAATTCCTTCTTTATTAAACTCTCAAAATTTTTCTTCCTTGCTCTCAGTTTTTTAAGAAGTGAAATGCAAAGTTTTTTTTTTGTGATAAAATTATGTTTAGAACTATTGTTTTTATAGGAAAATTAACATTATAATTTTACAGGATTAGCTAGAGATGGTTGCAAGTTGGAAGTTGCATCTGTACTTTATAGAAGTGTAAAAGTAGCACGCCTTGCTGTTGCAATGCTTCATCAGCAAGAGATAATGGGCGGATGCATTTGGGCACGCCAATTGGGTGGGGAGGTAAATATTTATAAACTTCCTGCTCAATTTCTTTTTTGTTGTGATTATTGGATTCGAAGCACAATTTTTTTTTAAAATAGTTGTAAGTATAAATTAGAAAGAATGCTTTGATTACAAGGAGCACATTTTTTTACTTTTTCATTTGTTATTATATAAACATTATACTTATGCAGAATTTAACTTAAAGTAATCATTTCCATTATTGATATAATATATGAAGTTGTATTTTCACATTCAATTTCTAGTGCTATGAAAAATGTTGAGTTATTCCCAGCTCATTGTATCACCTGATTTTTATTTTTGATGCCAATATATTTATTCTTTTTTTAGTTTGCTGTACTGCAAAACCTTGCCATCTTTCGGGGAACAAAAGCCGTTTTTATCAACTTTTTTCTATTTTTGCAATTCAACCTTTTGCTAATCTTTTGCATCAATCAAATGCATTTCTTCCGGAATTTAAATATTCACTGTTTAAGCCAAAGTTTCATTACTAATGTTTTTACTCCATCACAATGAGTGGAATATCCACTCCAAAAATTTAAATAATTTTTTTTGAAATTAGGCTTTGTTGTTGTTGTATCCTTTCTTCGCTGCTTATTTTTAGATGAAAGTGGATTTTCATAATTCAATAAAAATAAGCGCGCAATAGTTTTAAGAAAACGTTAGTGCATTTTGATTGCATCTAGGAGTTCCTGATAATGATAAGTAATTAGAAATTTGTCAAGTTTCACAAGTATTTTATTATCCCTATTATTAGGCCTAGTAATGTTCCGGTCCACCAAAGGGGGATCAACAAGGTTGAAATTGCTCACTATATCACTATATTAGATGAGGGTTTAGGGCTACTCAAAGAGAAAACTTCAAGTGAGATTGTATCATTAACATGTCAAAGGACCAATTAATTGAACTTCTCAATTCCACACTGCACAGTTTCGTCCAAAAAAGAATTTTATCATCATCTTTTTTCTTCTCAATATCTCCAATACTTCGTATTTCTTTATCTGGCAAACTTGAAACTATACTTAAAAATACCCAAGAAAGCTATAAGTTGGGTGATTTTAAATAGAGACAAGGCTACTATCCCCCCAAAACAGCAGTAATTATAAAAGGTTTCCCTACCGAAAAATCATAAAAACAATCCTTTAAAAAGCCTCTTTGGGATAAAAGAAGGCTCATTGTTAAAGTTTTGAATGGTTTCTTGCTTGTAGTAGGTTGCAACATTTGTTAAAGGTTGCAAATATGTTGGTATCCCCAGACTAGTCAATCTCTTAAAGATTTTCTTTAATACGTTTGATGATTTGGGAACCCTTGGTTTTGATTTAAGCATTGTTGAAGGGCCACAACTCGGCAATTGAAATGCTGAAAGGTACCATTCATTGTTCTATTGTCTTTTCTTACAAAAAATTTTGTTTGGACAGAGTTTGTTTTGCCATTTCAAGCTTAATCACCTTTGGTTGGAGAGTACTTAGGAGAAGATTTCTTTGTTTTTCATTAACGATTCTATATTGGACACCTGATTTGTGTTTTAAGCTGTATTAGAAGGATGAAAAGAACTTGTCCCTTATGGTATGCCTACCAAATGTTTACTTGAAGGTTTCATGATTTGTAGGATCATCTATAGGGAAAACTTTTTGGCATTGGTGTAATAAGGCGTTTGCCTCTTGATTTTGTTGTGGAATGTTGTATAGCTCTCATAAACAAGAATTTGGACACTTTTGTGTACCCTATGATTTTTTTTTAGCTTCTCAATTTAGTTGCCTTAGTACCATCTGCTTTTCTATTTTATTCTTATGTGTATGTGCTGTTGCGGTTATCATAGAATGTGTGCATTATCACTCTTTTCTTAGCAATAAATGACAAATATTCATTGGATTAACATTGCACCGTACTGCTCGAAGTTTCTGACTAATGGAAAATTGCTGTAAGCATCATTTTGCCACTGTGATTTTGTTTTCCTTCTGCAACCAAGAGAATGTGGATGGTCTTTAGATGATCTTGTGGTGGAAGGTTCAACTTCTTCACCACTTCCGTTGAAATGACATTTTCATAGTTTTTTCCATCATTAATGACATTGTAAACCTTTATTTGGATGATGCACCAATTGTGAAATGTGTTGTATGTAGCCATTTTGATCCTATTTCGATGGCAACATTCAACGCTTGTCAGGCTCTTAGAAACCCATTTTAATCTGCAATTCCACAACTGATTGTTTTCCAGTTTGTGAGCTTCTTCGTTGCTGTGTTCTTGAGGTGTTTCTTTGACGAGTGAAATAACTCTTTGGGGCAATTAGAATAAATGTGACTGGACCTTGGACACTTAAAATGTTTTATGAGTAGAGTTCTGTTGGCGGAAGTGCTTCTATTCTTGCCTTCCACTATTTTCAGCTTGAGATCAGTGGGTTGGAACAATAACTGTGGGGAATGATTCATTCTTTTACAATATTCATTGGCGGTTTCATGTGATTCTTGCATAGATCTTGGTGGGTAATTTTTTGGAAGTTTGTTAACATCTTTCCACTATTTTTGTTGTATTAGTGACATGTCAAAGATTCCAATATTGTTGATGTTGTATTGCTTTCATTAATGATTGCGGGTTGCAATCCACCAAAGAATCTTGAAATAGTATGACCCTTTAGTCCTGTCACACTTCTACATGAGTTGCACAAATTCAACAGTGCACTCTGTCAACTCTTTATTTTGAAAGTTGAGTATTATGAGGGCATTTTGACAAGAGAAGGGGGCAAGTTCCTTCATTGCAACTCTTTATTTATTTATTTTTCTCATGATGATCTTATTTTGGCCATGTTGACTGCTATTTCTTTTAAGGTTCTCCCATACAAGGGATGTATTTTTGTTCAACTTAATAGCTACTAACTTGGCCCGCTGATTAGTTTGCACTTCTTTGTAGTCCTAGATACACACCACAGTATGCAACCAACCTAAGAAATCATTTGGATTTAGATCACCTTAAATATTCAGAATTTTTATCTTCATCCTGAAGTCTTGATACCACTTTCTTGGCCTTTTTGTTATCATCTTCCAACGATTCTTGCAATATTTGATGAAAATGGTTTTCCATCTCCCATTCTTCTTTGATTGTTATCTAAGTTGAAAGAATGCACCCCACATTCCTGTCTCTCTTACACAGCAGAACATTGTAAACATTTAATTTCTGGTTGGAATACTTCCATGGCAACTTCTTGAGTTGGATGTTGGCGAGTCCTCCTAGGTGACATCTTAAGCAAACTCTCTGATTCCAAACTTCACATTGGGTGATGGTTAGAAAAAAGTTTACCACTATCACTTATTTTAAAAAACTAAAACAATGCCAAGAACCCTAAGAAACTACATAATAACAATAGATGTGATGAAACGAATTACATTAACTTCATGAAACTTCACAAATCCCAAAGTATTAATGCGATTAGGAATGGTTATCTCTGCGCAGGAATTGTTTGATTGATTTCAGTTTGTACTAATATTTTCTGGCTTTCTTGAACCCGCCAAACTTTGGTTCTTTCTATTCTCCAATCAAGGGAAAATACCATGCTTATTCCGTGTGCTGCAAGGCTCTGTGAAAGCATCTTTTATCTTACTCCAGATTGCGAATTTTATAAATTAAGGCTTGATGGAATTCCAGCAATTCTGGAAGAAAAATTGGTAGATTGATTGTTGAATAATGAAAAATGGGGTGCTCCCAACTTCTATCACACCTCTTCAACACAAACGCGCAGAAAAAAAAAAGAAACAATACAGAGTGTCCTACATAAAAAACATAATGCCTATTTTTGACAAATTAGAAAATTACATATACTACACTTTGAAATCATAGAAAAGTTTTGAGAATGACTATAACTTGCTAACTTCTTTTTTGATTTGTTTTTGCCAGCTAAACTTGGTGGTTACAACCTGTTAGGTGCGGAGGATTAAGCGGGGAATTTTTTTTTTAATGAAAAAAGATAAATGGCTCTAAAACATGCTTCCATTATGGTTAATATTTTAGCGTGGAAGTTTTTTCCTTTTGTTGAGAAATGGAAGTATGGCTCTCCTCCTTTTATGTGCCTTCATTAGAAATTAATAGAGATTAAATTTGGAGTTTGAGAAGATCCTGCGACCTAAGGATAAGCTCTCTAAAAAAGATGGTTTGGTGCCTTGAGATAAGGTTCTGCGCTTTTCTGAAATTCATGATTAAGATCTTTAAAATTTACATCTATTCCTTGTTTTGGGGGTGGGAAATGTAGTAATTTGAAAACACTTGAATTTTGTTATCTCTTTAAATAGATGAAGGAAGCGCAACTTTATTGAAAATTCATGTGAACCATGAAATCACTTTTTTAGCCTTTTTATTCCCTCTTTGCTAATCCCTGAAACCATGTGATTTTGGATTTAACTTTCAATGTATCCCCTGCTTTTAGGCACAGAAAGTACAGGTATATGAAGAGAGCATGCTTCCCCTGATATTTTGCTGTGTTTTTTTAGGCCTTATTTCTTAATGTTAAATCAATTGTGCACCATCTTTTAAATATAATAAGTATAATAATTACGGAGAAGCCATCTTTCAATTTGAAATTTCTGTGCTGATGGTGTAAGAGGAATGCTTTATACTTGCTTAAACCTCAAGAGTCTTCTTTGATTGTCATAAGGAACCACCTGGACTGGTTAGGAATCATATACATGATACTTATGAAATTTACCGTATTGATGACCTATGCCTATAATCCTCTAGAAACTTTTGAATTCTTTATGAAGCTAAATTGTACATATACTAAAATTCTTTCATTTAATTGCTGTGCGGCTTTATGTTAAATGTAATTTTCCTCTGTCAAAAGATTTTTGAAGAGTTTCATCTGCTCCCTTTAAGAAGACATTTTGAAGTTGGAAATTTATTATTGCTTAGAAATTTTGCAGAAACCTTCTTAGAGGAAAATACTCTATAATCTTCTCATTAAGTAAATAACAAATATATATACAAGAGTACAATTGAGGGAAATTCAAATCAAC